CAAAGCAAAGTAATTAAGTTGTAAATACAAAGATAAGCCGAAAATAACATAGAAATAGTTTTTGCTTCCTATCTCATTTTCTTTATAAGTAGAACAGATTATTGAAAAGCTGGTGCGCTCACCTTGTTTCAAATTTACTACGAAGGGTGGGAACTCTCGGTCTCAAAAGGTCTCGAGCACGACTGAGGTACAGAGAGGAGTTCACGCAGGTCGTCTTTAATGCTCAGAAATTAAACAGCATGATGGAATAGATGTGGAAGGGTTTTTAAAAACAAACGGTATGTGTTAAAATGTTACCCGAATTCAGTGGTCAATCTGTAATAATTTTTTATCCATCTTAGCAAGACTTTCCTCAAAATACTCCCTTTTACTTGGTTTATGGGACCTTCTTTTTTTTCCTTCTCCCACCCTGGTGGCTCCTTCTCTGTCTCCATTGCTGGATTCTTCCCGTCCTCCTAACCTCTCAGCGTTGGACCACTCAGTCCTTGACCTCTTTCCTACCCCCCCACTTCCTGGTGATAGCATCAAGCCCACGGCTATAAGTACCATATGGCGACTCCCAGATTACACCTCCAGCTCTCACCTTTTCCCTGAACGCCAGACTCAGAAATCCAACCGCCCGCTTAGCCTCTGCATTTGGATGTTCAAAACATAACTCTCGATTCCCTTCCGCATAAACTGCTATTCACCCCACCCCACCCCCATTTTCTTCTTTTAGTAAATGACATCTCCGCTCTATTGTCACCGAGGCCCAAACGCCAGCATCATTCTTGAATCCCTTCTTTCTCCCACATGCCACATTCATCCCATTAGCAAACCCTGTCGGCTTTCCTATCTGTCTTCGTCAGCTCTGGCTGCTCTAACACAATATACCACAAACTGGGTGGTTTCAACAGAAAATATTTATTTCTCACTGTTCTGGAGGTCGGAAGGCCCAGATCAGGGTGCCAGAAGGTCGTAGGGAGGGCCCCCTTCCAAGCCGCAGACTGCCAGCTTCTCCTTGTAGCCCCAAATGGTGGAAAGAGGGCCAGCTAGCTCACTGGCCTCTCCGTAGCAGGGCACTGACCCCCTTCCTGAGGGCCCCACCCCATGACCTAATTATCTCCCACAGGCCCCACCTCCAGATACCATCGCATTGGGATTAGGGGTTTCAGCACGTGAATTTGGGGGGACACAGTCCATTGCACAGTCTAAATTGGTCTAGAATGCAACTACAGCTCATCTCTTTCACCATTGCTGTCCTAGGCCTTCTCCCCACCGCTAACCACCACTCTCATGGTTTATCCTCTACACGTTACAAAAAAGCTTACCCTGGCTGCCGTAAACTAGATCATCCTACTCACAGTATATTCCCAGGTCCTTACCGTAGCCCCTTAGTTCTCTGTGATGTTCCCCTCATCTCTCATAGTCCTCTCCTGCCTCCTCCCTCCACCAGCCACACTGCCCACCCGCTGTCCCACCTGCTGTTCCAAGACCGCCAGGGACCACACCGGACTTCTGCCTGCCTTTGTACTGCCCGTCTCGGAACCCTCTGCTCCAGACACCAGTGGGGCCCATTCACTCCTTCTCCTTCCTCTCCTCCTTACTCCTCTGCTCAGCGGCCAACTTACGAGACAGGACTTTCCGATCCACTCCGTCTCAAAAACATACCTTCTCTCCGTCACTCTCTGCCCCTTCTTTATTTTTGTTTTTAGTGATCATCTCCACCCGATCAGTTACCTGTATGTGTGTGCATGTCCTTTGTTAAGTGATATGAAATTCATTAAATGATTCTTCTAAGATATAACCAGATTTGTTATAAAACAGAGGAGAGAGAGAAAAAGAAAGTGAGAGACAGAGAGAGAGAGAGAGATGGGGAAAGAAGGAGAAAGAAGAAAAGGAAGAACGAGACAAAGATAGTAAGTGCCAAATACGTCCCAGACTTTGGTCTTAGTGTGCCCTCTTTTGAATTTTCCCTAGCCCACCCTTTTCTGGGATTGATCAAATGATGACCTACAATTTGATTCTCAAAGGAATTGAAAAAATGGATTTTCCTCGAAAGATAACGAGGCGACCTGAGGATTTGATTCGGAGGCTTTGCAGGTAAGTGTGAAGGCTTCCGGCGTTTTCTGTTTCTACACATTTTAAAATTAGGTATATATCTACTTCTTGTGCTTTTTTATGTAGCTAACTGATATTTAAGGAAAGTCATTTTCTGATTTTCAGTCTAAGGAGTTTGAGTTTCCCTCATATTATGGAATTACAGTACCTACTTATAGTTTAAAAAGAGATCTAAATTCTTCAAGTTACTTTTGGGAATTATCTTTATCTGTTATAGAGCAAAATAGAACCACAAACATTAGGTTAAAAAAGGAGAAATTGATTTACAGTCACGTTATTTTGATAGAAAATCAGTGTTGATGATTAAGTGTTATGGCCTCTTTCCTCTCCATGTTTAAAAAAGTACTCCTTTAGTCTTATTTTAAATTACTCCCAAATTTCTAATAGCCATTGAAGACCATTTATTAGAGAATAGGAGACTTCTAGATTATTTGCTTAAACTTCATTTTGCTGCTTTTTTTTTTGGCCATATCGACTTTTTTTAGATTTTTTTTTTGAGATGGTGTCTTGCTCTGTTTCCTGGGTAGAGTGCCATGGTGTCATCATAGCTCACAGCAAACCTCCAACTCCTGGGCTCAAGCGATCCTCCTGCCTCAGCCTCCCGAGTAGCTGGGACTACAGGTGTGAGCCACCACGCCCAGCTAATTTTTCCATTTTTTTGTAGAGATGAGGTC